TGCTTTCCTCTGCAGCCCCCCACTTACTACGTAGGGATTCCTAATCTACACTTTTGAGAATTCTTCAGGAAGATCATATAAGTTAGAAGAGACTGTTTTTTTTGTGTGTGTGGTTTTTTTTTTTTTTTGGATAGCTTTTTATTCATGGATTTTCAGGAATTCTCCTAAAAAGGAAAGAGTCACCGCCTGGAAATTAAGAGGAGTTGGACACAGGTGTCATTACAGTTCTTGACATTTGGCAAAGCGCTTGACCCCTCCTGGGCAGACAACCATCCTGGAGAAAGGAAGGCAGACACCATTAACCCAAAGGGGAAATGGGCAGTCCCCTCCAAAGCTCTGAGAAGAGAACAGCAAGCCAATGTAGGAACAGCTGTGGCCTTTGCCAAAGAGGTAAAAGGGACAACAACAAAAAACCTCATCTTCCTGTGTAATATTTTACATAAACACAGCACGCTATTTCAGTGGCTCTAGACTGGAGTCAAAAGTTCACAGCAAAACAAGGTTATTTTCTGAAATAGTTTTCAGGGCATCTCCTGATAAAACGCCTTCTTCCTTGTGAGATACAGTGTCAAAATGGGGGGGGGGATAACTAAAACGCAGTAACAACCACCTTACATAAGTTAACAAGGTCCTTTGTCAGTATAAACATAAACATAGCATACAAAAATATGTTCCCCTTGCAGGAAAGTCCATTCTTGTCAGCGGGGGCTGGCCCTCTGAGTCCTCTCAAGATTTTAGCTGCAGAAAGAGCCCAGAGTGGCTTAGCCGTCTTGCTGCTGAATGAAGGGGTTGGGAATGGCTTCCATCCCATCCTGGGGACAGATGAGGACCACCGAGGTCCCTCGGCAGACCACCAGTCCCAGCTGACGGGTGTCCTCTGTGAGCTTGTATTGGTCATCTGGATCTCTCATATGGTCCCATCCAGCACCAGGTTTAGAAGGGGGTCAAATCCTTTCAAGACACCACTAGCTTCCCGGCCACCCTGGAACTTCACACAGATGGTTTTATCAATGTACTTAGACAGATCCAATATACTTTCTTTCTTCTTCTTCTCTTTGTCCGCCATCTTGCTCTCCACAGGTATCCCGCTTCCGCGCCACTTCCGCCCGCTTTCAAATAGGCCCCCGTTAGAAGAGACTGTTAAAGGTTTTCCATACCACTGCAACCCTAATAGTGTCTGTTCAGAACTTCAGAAGTATTGAATTATTGAATCCAATGAGGCTTACCTTCAGGTAAATTAGGTTAGGATTGCAGCCTAAGGTAGAATATGAATAATTTGATGTGCAGGATAGAATGGATGAGATGGTACTTTAAAAAAACAAACGTAACTTGCAAGCTAAAGGAATCTTAATGGATCCGTTTGGAAACTGTAGATGGGTGTGAACACACTGTACAAACAGGCTGATGTAGCTCATGTCAAATCTGTTGAGAGTATTTGCACCGGGGAAAGTATTTTTGACTAGTAGGCAGCTATTTATCAATAAAGTTTAACTTAATGATGAGAAAATATTAGCACAGATGGAGTTCACCTTTTTTTTTTAAACTATTTTAAGTTACCCATTAGAAAAAGCAGTACAATAATGTTATATTTATTAAAGTTTAACAATGCATTCTCTTAAACATATTGTTCTACCATTGTGAAAATTAGGAGCCCAGACCTCAACGTTATATCCCCTCCTTGCTTTCATAATCTATCTGAGGAGAGGTTGGGTCAAGTGGTAGTAGCTTCTTGTTTTTTAATTTATCATTTAGGGGTCAATTATAGGTGATCACTGTATCTTTTATTTTGCAACTGACTGCATAAAAAATACAAGTCGTTTTCTCTGGAATTTCTTATCCTTTTATTTGTCTTGATGGAAACAAGCTGCTCTGTACTAAAACCATTTCCCGCCCATTTAAACTGGCGTGTCTCATAAACAGAAGATGTTAATCCAGTCAATTTAGCATTTGCTAGCACCTGCGTGTCATACCTTTTATACAAAATGGAAAAGATAAGATGCAACATGTATCAGTTACCCTTGGTCTTATCTGTCTCGACCTCACTATCAGCTAGATCTAGAACCATTCAGAGGCTTAAAGATAAACACATCAGGACCATTAACTGTTTATGCAGTTTTTATGCAGGACTGTCAGTTCTCATGTGTTGGACTGACTTGTTTCGACTGATTCTGGCTATATTGCAATGCTAGATAGTAATTTTCAAAAGGTCCCCCCCATCCCTCCCAATGATTTCATCAAATAAGCAAACTCAGAGACTGTAGGAAAGGTGGTATAAAATGAACTCTGTGTTGGCCTTGGAGGGTTAATATGTGTTCCGATTTCTAGCGGGGTATGTGTTGGTCTCACATCAAAAACAGAGATTTGTGGCACTGAAAAGTCTACCAAATTTGTTATAGCATAAGAGTTCATGGACCAAACCCCACATTGTCAGATGCCTGAAGTAAAATCTTTGTTGACAGGTATATAAAGGAGAAATTTGTAAGGAGGGAGTTGAAGGGGGGAGGGGGGCGGATCAAAAGTTACAATCAGTGCTAACTGGACCTTATATGCATGTCAAATAGGTTTATCTTTAACTTTTTACAGTAGTAGATTAGTGATAATTTACTCAGAATTACTGTGGTGATTGTATTATAGACACCTGTAATGGGCAGGGAATTATTCACAAAACACAATAGATAACACAGCTATTCTGCCAATGGTAAGCCAATCAACACATGTAGTATGGATTTTTAAAACCTTCCGTCTTTGTCTTGATGTAATCCACAAGCAAGAAAACTGATTTTTTAAAATTGATGATTGTTTCTGGAATGCTGGCCTTATGATCAGTTACAGAATGCCCTGGGAAGTCAAACGTTTTCCTACTAGTTTATGAATATAACCATTTCTGAAGTTGGATTTGTGTGAATTTATTCGTTGCATAGGAAGGCCTGTCATTGTATGCAGAATGTAAGAGGAAATTGTTGGCAGATTATGGCATAAATGTCATTGGAACAAGTGCAGTTAATGAACCCCTGATGTTGTGTAATCTGGGTCTGCCTCAGTAGAAAATATTTTTTGGGGGAAGGAATAGTGTTGCAGGTTTAGGAGCTCCATCTGCATGATGCCCCAAGTCCCTCCCAGGTCTTGTGGTCCTGTACACAGTGAGGGTCAAAAGCTAATGGAAGATTCTATTGTTGAAATATTTGTGGAAATGACTCATAGGGAAAAGTGGAAGCATCTTACAGGGGTAGTTGGAATAGGTAGGTAAGAATGCCAGTTTTACTATGCCATTTATCTGGGAGCGAAACCTACTTCTAAGTAAACATTGACTGCTTTACAGTAGCATCGAATTCAATACCACGTCCTCCTGTTTCCTTTACCATCTTTATTCCTTAGGACATCCTTGTGAGTGAGGCAGATCATTACTATTCTCATGTCACGGATGGGGAACAGAGTGACCAATTTGGCAGGGGCCATGTGAGCTGCTATATATGGCAGGAGTCCAGTTCATGTATCCAACCCTATTCATCTATTACTCTCTGGCAGTGGGTTGGCAGATTATACAGGACTCGGGTTGCTGCTGCTCCTTCCCTGGCAGGATCCCGGTACATTGCACCTGCTGCGTGCCAGGCAGGCAGAAATTCAACAGGAACATATGGCTCTGGGATAGAAATGTAGATCTGGGGGAAGCTGCACAGGGATCCTCCCAATATTAAAAGTAGCCGTCTTTGAGCAAATGCTGCAGTGGTACACACGTAGTATTTTTCAAGAGAGAAAACCAGGTGGAAGAAGTTGGGTTCCCTCCCTTTTCACTACTTCTTTGGCGATCACTCGTAGCCGAGTAAGATTGGCTTCCATAAACACGGTTTTAACAATGAGTCCGTAAGTGACTGTGGAGGCCAATTCTGGATCCATACGTCCTTCCACAGTGGGGACATTGGTTTCTGGGCGGAAGTAGATCAAGGTGTAGATTAGCCAAGCGTGCCTTCCTCTTAACATGTTTCTGCCTTGTGTCCTGAGTTGTCCTGAGTTCGAGTGTCTTCACAGCTCATATGGCACCTTTGGTAAAGGCTGTTCTTCAACTGTAGCGCTCGCAAGCCAGTGTTTCCCAATTGTTGGTGTTTATGCTACATTTTTTAAAAGATTTGTCTTGAGACCTCTTTTGTTGACCACCAGCGTTACGCTTCCCATTTTAAAGTTCGGAATAGAGTAGTTGCTTTGGAAAACGATAATCAGGCATCCGCACATGACCAGGCCAATGAAGTTGATGTTGAAGAATCAAAAAGTTGGGGTGTCCCCCCCCCACGCCCCGCTTTTCACTAACAGTGAGGGCACAGCTGCACCTCGACAACGAACGGAAAGCAAAGCACAGCCGCGCATACTCGGAAGAGATTTCTTTCAGGAACCGGCCGCGAGTCCTTTAAAGAAGGAGGAACCCCCATTGCAGCGAGCGAGCGGGAGGCGAAGCGTAAGGCGGGGCGGCCTGAGAGGTGGCCGCGCCCCCTTGCCGGGGCCATTGGGCTGAACTACCGAGGAGGCTGGCTATAGACAAGTGCCGGGGCGCAGCGGCTGAGGCGCTCGAGGGCCAGCCAGGGGTGGGGCCGGCCGGGGGCTGAAGAGGGGGGACGATGGCGGCAGCTGGCGGCGGCACTTCCGCGGTCTCCGTGCTGGCTCCGAACGGGAGGCGAGTGACGGTGCGAGTAGGCCCAAGCACCGCGCTGCTCCAGGTGGGTCTGGCCCAGCGACGGGGAGGCTGGGCGGGTGCAGTCACTCTGATTGGCCCTGGGGCAGGAAAGGGGGGAAAGAGGCTCGTTCTGATTGGATCAGAGGGCACATAATTGCCAAGGGTTTTTCTCTCGGACCCGGCCGGGCCGGGAAGAGTTTCTGGAGTGGTAGAAACGGAATGGGTTGAACACTGATAAAAGCCGGTGACGGGCTTTTCCCTCCTCCCTTTATCTCGGTGTCTGAAAGGAAGTTGTGCGATAATGGAAGGACTCCGGCCTCCTGAAATGGGGGAGGATCGTAGATATTTGCCCCTGGTGGGGAAAAGAAATGGCCCCTGACAGCGCAGTCATCATGGCTGCTGACTTCGAAGTGACTTCTGTCATTCAGCAGGGGCTTACTCGCTAGTAAATGGGTTTAGGATTGCAACCTGAACGGGGTTATGCCGAGAAATGCATTTTCTGTAGGAGAAAAGAACTGAAGGGAGGGATCTCCTCCTGTAAAACCTTAGTAGACCCCGCCGGGGGAAAAATAGACGCCTTCCGATGTAGGCAGGTGCAAATGGGAGACGTGAAAGTCCCTTTGAAATGTTAAAAGTTTCTTTTCCAGTCTTATGTGGGGGGAAACCAACCCGTAGCCCTGTGGCACCTTAAAGGCTACCAAATGTATTATGGCACATGCTAGTCTTTTAAGTTGCTGCAAGATTCTTTTTTGTGTTTGCCTCTCAGGGAAACGCAATTTATATTTTTGGGGGGTAGATCTTCTATCGCAGTGGGGAACCTCAGGCCTTGGTGCTGAATGTGGCCTTCCAGACCTCTGTCTGTCCCTTGGGACTTTCCCCCAGACCATACCCTTCCCCCGGCCTGTTCTGCACCCTCTTCAGGTGTTTTTGTCTGGCTGGGATGTGCCCTTAATATGATCATGCCTCTTACTTAACTGGATGGAGAACAGAGAATGGTGTCTGTAGAAACTACTCTACCTTATAAAGGTAATATTTACATTCACTACTCTGCCTTAACCCAGCCCACCACTGGCATGCGGACCTATGACTTTAAAAAGGTTTTCCACTCTCACTCTATCAGACTTCGTCACAGGTTTTCTTTTTTTATCTTTTTTTATCGGACCACCAAGATTATGATTTAAGCTTCTTTCATGTAAGGTCTTTTTTCTTTTGTTTCCCAATCTGCATATTCAGTGGTCCATAAATGAGTATTCCATAAGGAGGTTTCCTTGCACTTACTCATGTAAATAATTATCCTCTATAAAATCCCACAAGGATCAATGGGGTACCTAAAAACAACCAGTCAATATAGCCTTCATTATGAAAAATTAGTCCTGAAACTAATGTAATGTTGAGAGAGATTGCTACTTTCTGTCAGAAATGTATTGTGTTAACATCCTGGAATAGTTTGCAGTGTTACCCCAGAATAAATGTAATTTTCTTATTGTACTCTCACATTTGGCCTAAATTCTCTTGCCGGGCTGTGGGGGAGAATCTTCCTCTCATGCAGGTGGGATTGTTAATGTAAGTTAGAATCACAACTTGACCCATAAGCATGAGTTGAGAAGGGGGGGAAGGATGCTGACTGAAGTAAATGATAGCTCACCTGGTAGAGCATGAGACTCTTCATCTCGAGGTCATGAGTTGAGCCCCATTTTGGGCAAAAGTTTCCTGCATTGCAGGGGGTGGACTAGATGACCCTCATGGTACCTTCTAACTCTATAATTCTATGACTAATCTGCACTGTTATGATACAGAATGAGAGAACTCTCTATTTTATATTAACATCTTGTCTTTTTTCTTTTTTAAGATTCTGGAAGAGGTTTGTAGAAAGCAGAATTTCAGTCCCAATGAATATGATTTGAAGTGAGTCTTACTGTTTTTTCCATACCTTTATGGCTTGACAGTTCGCTGTTTCTTTGCCGTTAATTTGGGGGACGGGTGGGAGAGAAGTGTAATATGGAGCCCACAATGGCAGTCCAGAACTATTCGCTTTTGAAGGCTGTGATCCCAAATTTGACATGTCTAGCAGAGTGTTCCTTGGCCAAGGTCAATCTTTCACCTTAATTGGTCGGATGTAGTACCAGTTCTCATGCACCTGCAGCTGGCTGTTGAAAACAGGATGCTGGGCTAGATAGACCCACTTCCCTGATGTGAAAACACAGTCACTAGTTTATTCAGAATGGAGATGGGGGACGTATGGACCTCCAGATGTTGTTGGACTCTGCCTCTCATCAGCACCAACTAGCACAATCAGCGGTTAGGGATGATCGGCATTGTACTTCAACAACCTCTAAAGGGCCACAGGTTCTCCCTCCCTGTTTTAGCAATAATATATCTTAATTCCATGTATACTCATCAACTTCTCTAGGGACTTATGGCCCCAAAATTCAAGTATTTTGGCATAATTCGTCTATGAAAGGCATGTATTAATATCATTATTAATATTTCTTAGATGTCTTTCTCAGAGAACTCAACAAGACTAACAAGAATACTAAACAAGATTAACAAGAATACTAAAATATTTACAGTGCAAAATAAAACATTGAAATCCAATAATTTATCTGTATAATACTAAAACCATACCACCCCACGAAAATTAACAAAATCTGGCAACAATATAATCAATAATTACAGGTGAATCAGAAAATGATTAATAAGAGCCCAGATTTCAAATTTAGTTTAAAAAAAAAGTGTTTCTCAAGTAAAAAAAAAATCCCCACAGTAGATTCCCTTTCATAGTTAGGGCAAGAAGCACCCCATTCTGGTTGATGCAGGTGATGTTAAGAGGCATGGCAGTCTAAAGGAATATTAAGTTCCAAACTAAATATTCAGTTGCTCAATGGATGCTGGTAAGGCAGAAGGCTCTCTGTGCCTTTGTCACTTCATCAGTTATACTGTAATCCAGCATTTTCAGCAGGCTTTGATACATGTGGAACCTTTGATGATAAATAGTATCACTGCTATGAGAAGACTGTTCATTCCTCCATGTTTTGGGAAGGAAATATAGCTGCAGGTAGGTAAAGGTAAAGGGACCCCTGACCATTAGGTCCAGTCGTGGCCGACTCTGGGGTTGCGGTGCTCATCTCGCTTTATTGGCCGAGGGAGCCAGCGTACAGCTTCCGGGTCATGTGGCCAGCATGACTAAGCCGTAGTTGCAGGTAGGCCTGCTGTTAATGGTGTTGCTAGGGTTGTGTTTTCCTGCAGTTAAGTCACTGAGACAGTTAATACCCTTGTTATTGCAAGATCTCCTGCAATACTTTTGCAAAGTTTTTTGCAGATAAAGTCACTCAGATTTGGAAGAGGTAGACTCCACCATGGGAGTGGGGCCAGTGTGGGAGACAGGTTGCTTGGACAAGTGAAACCAACCACCTGTCTCCTTGATTCTTGCCCATCCTGGCTAATAAAAGCAAGCCGGGAAGGGCTGGACGATGGGCTCTGTGGGGTGGTGAATGCTTCCCTCTGTGAGGGAGCCTTCCCAGACCCGCTGAAAGAGGCGGTCATTAAACCGCTTCTTAAAAAAACAACTTTAGACCGGGCTAATATGGCCAACTATTGCCCCGTCTCAAATCTACCATTCTTGGGCAAGGTGATTGAGCGGATGGTTGCTGAACAACTCCAAGCACGCCTGGAGGATGCGGACCATTTAGATCCCTTCAAATCGGGATTCAGGCCTCACCATGAGACTGAAACTGCCTTGGTTGCGTTGGTCGATGATCTCTGGGGCGGGATATAAATTATTGTTGTTGTTGTTGTTGAAGCTGCAGCTAGGGAGAGCCAAAGCCATTTATGTACCTGGGGTGGAAAATGGAAATGGCATTGCCTTCACTTGAACTAGTTCACAGGTCTAGAGAAAGTCATCTTGTGCATAACTAATGGATATGAATGGGAGCTATTCCAGATCCTGTTCGTTTTAATGGGGCTCATGCAGGAACTGTCCTGGTGGATTGTGCCTTATGGTTTTGACCTGTATGCCTCCCACTCTGCTGTCCTTTGGAACACTAAACATCTGCTGCCCACAGATGCCATCTCACTTTGCCTATGATAGCTATGATGCAGAGTTAACTGTTGTGCTATTTCGTACAGGCCTCTAACAAAGGATTTCACTGACTCCCCAGGTCCCTGAACTCTTTGGTGGAAACAGCCCCTCTCATAACTGACATCACACGGCACTATGTGCAACTGGGTCATGCTGCTGTTCTAGACTGTTCTTTTTACAACAAGCTGTTCCTCTATTAAGCAGCTGTTTGGGCCTGGGCCCTTCTCTGAAAATAAAAACACTGACAGTAGCGTTGCCTCTGCTTGTCACATGTCTTTCAGCTCTTTCCAAATAGCAACTCCTGCAGTTTTTTTCTATTTTCTATCCAAATGTTTTCCTGATATGAAAATGGTTGCACCTCTTTACATTGCTTTACTCTATAGCTTCTAAGAGTGTGGCCCCTTGTATGAGTTTGTTGAGAGTTGAGTGGCTCCTGTTGTTCCTAGTTACTAAACTGTGTTAAATGAAGCAAGGGAGAGGGGGAAGTAAGTAGCTGACCTAATAGTGTTGGCTTGAATCCAGGGGAGCATAGGGGTAAATGTCATGCAGTGGACCTTTCCTGCCTCTTCCTTCCAGCTACAGTCCTTGTGCCTTCTGAAAAGCAGCCCCTGCAGGTCAGAAAGGCTTCTAGAATGACATGGGATATGGCAAGTGCAGAGATGCTGCTGGAGAGGGATGTTAGTGGATATTGGAACCACCAATTTCACAAGTGCAAATACCTGTGGATTCAAGCCATTGTTTCTGTGAGCATCAGCAACTAGTACTAATTGTTCCATGATATTCTGATTATGTTGGAGATATCTATGTGGAACCTAAAACCGTGGTTGCACAAATCTACATGTTCTGTTTAGTACACTATAAAATGTGGCAACAGAAAATCATATTTTAGGAGTACCTTTCAAGCATTACTGTGGTGCTGGGGAATTTCTTTTCTGTGGGTCCACCTCACAGCATTGTGGTAACATTTAAAGGCCCATAACCACATGAATGGTGCAAATTGAATAAATCCTTGTTGCCTGACCATGGCTAGGGAATGATGATTTCATGCGAAGGACCTGTGTGGTTAGCACCCATGTGGTTTGGGGGCCTTTAAATGTTACAACAGTGCTGTGGGACAAATCCAGGGGAAAATGTCTCACATGTACTGTAGTAACTTAATTTAATTTAAGGAAGATTGTCGGGGGGGGGGTAGATTTAGAGATCACCTGTGTGGGGTAATTAATAAAAGACTTGGCTGGATCCTTAGATCCAGAGTGCGGGCTGAACACATACTCCAGTAGTAAGAGAGCCCCAGGAGAGTTTAAAGATCACAAAATGTTTAGCAACAGTGAAGCATTAGGAATAAAAACTGTTAGACCCTTTTAATATCCAGTCTAGTATGCTTACAATGCTTCTCCATTTATCCCCCTCTTGTAGTGATCAGACCACACAATTTTGTAGGTTTTAATGGATTTTACTTACAATTCCCAAATGTCAGATTTATGCGTTATTCCATGCAGCAGCCAGAAGACCACAAGTAGAAATTATCGGGTTACAAAATACAGGGGCGGGGGGGGGGAATCACTGATAAGTAGTCTGAATTAGTCTCAGGGCAAAAGGATATCATTAGACTCTTTCTTTTGCAGGTTTCAGAGGACTGTGCTGGATCTCTCTGTTCAATGGAGATTTGCCAACCTACCCAACAACGCCAAACTGGAGATGGTGCCAGTCTCTCGTAATAGAGCAGGAATTGAAACTACGGTAGGTTCTTTTCACTTTATGACACACTTCTAGCTCACATTCCAGCCGTGATCGTGGCAGGGTTTTGTCAGAGGGACGATGATAACATATCCCCCTTCACAGGATTCTCAGCTTCCTATATATGTTGCTTTGTTTTTAAAGCGAAATCTTAAGGCAAAGTGGAGGAACCTGTGACCCTCCAGATGCTGCTGGATTCCATCTAAGGCTTTTTGTACAAGATAAAGACAGGCACGATAAAGAAATCCCTCAGTTTCTCTAGGTACTTTACTGTAAGTTGCCTCTCATTCGCTGTCAACCTCTTCACCTTCTTTCTGTCAACTCATTTATAATCTTAAATGGAGTTGATAAAAGAAAGAGTGAGAGATGGCATAGTAGTAGTAGGACCTCAGTTCTTTTTAGAAAGCATTTCATACACAGTAGTACCTCGGGTTAAGAACTTAATTAGTTCTGGAAGTCCGTTCTTAACCTGAAACTGTTCTTAACCTGAAGCACCACTTTAGCTAATGGGGCCTCCCGCTTCTGCTGCGCCGCCCGAGCACGATTTCTGTTCTCATCCTGAAGCAAAGTTCTTAACCCATGGTACTATTTCTCGGTTAGCGGAGTCTGTAACCTAAAGCATCTGTAAGCCGAGGTACCACTGTATTTCTCCTTAATTTTATTTTTAAAACTCATGTTCTTTGGTAATTACCGTCTGACATAAGGCTTAGTCTGACCTGAATAAAGTTGCCAAAAGAGAAAGGGTTTGGCTTTCCTTGTCTGGGATATACTATACTGTACTGCGGTTCTTATCAGTCTTGTAAATGAAATTGGATCTCCTAAAAGAGAGCTCTAAATGGTTGACCTAGCTAATATTGCCATTAGATGCTGTGTGCCACTTAGATTTTCACGTATCAATAATAAAAGTGTTGGAAGAGTGATGAAAAAAATGGGAGAATGCACAGAAATTGTTTTGAAAAGGGCATTAATATTGCTTTAAAAGCATAGATTAAGCTTTGCTATGAAATGGTGATATATGTTTGACTTACAATGCAGTCCAATGTGTATTTACCCTGAAATAAATCCCATGGTATTCACTGGGGCTTAATTCTAGCTAAGTGTGAAACCGAAACATATACTTTTTCAGGGATAGTTTTGCCTTGAAGCAGTTCCGCTCTTAAAATCCCTAAAAGAAGGAAGTTATTTACCAAGGCCAACTATATTTTCTTTAAAAAAGAAGAAGCCCTAAAGACTTACCGAAATTATATATACAACAATGAAGAAATGAAGAACCAAGGCAAATCCTTTTCAGTGGAAATTTGCTGGAGCACACTAAACCAATTAAAGAATCATCAATTTATGGTCAGTTAGCCAACAACTTTTCATGAAATTAGTTGGCTGAGAATGCAATGGAGAGAAACTGCATTTGTACTGGCAACGTGAGTCAGTTAAGCTTTTGATGAAGAAGTATTTGGAAGGCTCAGCTTTGTTCTCTAGGTAAATATCAAATGTTCTCTCTACTCTCGCCATGATGTTTGGAAATCACACCAACAGGATGGGACAGATGGATTAAATTTACTCCACTTGGCCCAGCACTGTGATGGTGGGGGCAGGGTAGGTGGGTGAGGAAGCCACTCACCTGTTAGGATCCTGACAGACTCATACCCTGGAGAGACCTCTTCAGAGGAAGAGATTTGGGAGTTGCATGCAGCAGCCTGTTCCCACCGAATACTTAAAGAAACGCATACCAGTCCCAAGGCAACCAGAAGAGCCCCACCTCAACGATGCCTCCTTTGCTTCCCCTTCAACCCTATCCACCTTGATCTGCAGTTCTTCTCCATCATCCCCTGCCCTGGGCCACAGGAGGAAAGGTGGTGGGAGAGCAGGTGGGAAGGCCTAACTTGCAGGGTTATCTTCTTGCCTTCCAGACAGCTCTGTTGGCAGGGTTCTACATGGGAGGAGGGATCTATTTGGGAGGAGTGGGGAGAAGACCCAACTGCAGGCTGTGACCCAGAAGAGGACCAGGGAGAGACGGGGACTATGTACGTCCCTCAGACTCCTCTGGACCTTTGCTGGGTAAAGAGCTCCCTTCAGAGCTCCTCAGTGCTCCAGTTTCTGTGTTCCAGCTCCAGACTCCTCATTCCTTCGACCTCCACACTGGTTCTGGTTGCAGACATTACCTTGGAATCGCACTTCTTCTTCCTCTTGTGAGACACCATTGCTAGAAGCCTTTGGAGGTTGGAGCATCCGTTCTTGTTTCCTGAGCCTAAGGCATTCCAGCAATTGTACTGTGCCAGAGGGGAGAAGAGGATCTTCTCAAATTAAGTGGTAGTGCTTGATTTTGGTAAAGGGCTGGCAAGCTGCTAACAGTGGTTTTACAGGCTGGATTGAGTCATTGGGCTGTGGATTTGTAACCTGTATTTTATGTTGTAGCGTTGGAAAGTTATGCCCCTTGCCTAAGGGTTGTGGGCTACAGACTTGGTAGTGTAGCTTTAGAACATTTGACTTCTAGTTTTTTAACTCTTGAAAAAATTATCAGATACATATTGTAATTGAAAAGAAATAACTCCCTCAGGAAACTAATCAATACTAGCAACTGAAGGATAGAACTAATTTAACAAAGCATATTCTTTATTTATATTTACTTTTAGAGTGGAATGAATGGAACTAGATAGGGAAAATATATGGGGATTGATGTTTGTATATTTCAGAAATGTAAATGAATTATCTGTGTATATCCTTTAAATGAATCCAGTGTCTAGCCTCCAGTAGTCAGTTGTTGAACTTAAGGAAGATATTGACTAAAACCACACATACATTTTTAGGTGGAGTGTTCAGGGGAAACTACTTCAAAAATAAGATATGTAATCCCAGAAACAGATTTAATTATTGACTCAGATATAAATAGTTAATCAACAGTTTAGTCCAGTTAATCCTAAATTATTAATTACAAAAGGAACATGTTTAATTAATATAAAAATATTGCTATTAAGACTCATTACTAATCCTTTATCAATAATTCATTGAGTTAGATTTTATCTGTTGGAAGTATTGAAATTGTTATCTGCTGCTTTAAACCGAAAAGGGAGACAGGTCATGACTAAATAACTAGTTGCAGAAATCAAGATTTATCAGTTGAGTTAGTAACAAGGCTAAGCAATGCCTAATTCTGTTAATTCCAAACTATTACTATAAGGAATGTGACTCAGTTCATTAGAAGTGGTTTGTTAAAGTCTGTGAAAGAGCTTCTTGAACCGAAACTGACAATTCCAGAGGGCAGAGACAACTAGTGGGGGAGATGGGCAAGGAGTGGCGTCTTCTCACTGATATTTTTATGTGAGACTGAGGGCATTTTTTGGTTGAAGAATGGGATTTTAACGTGCTTTAAATAAATAAGCCCCTTGTGCCGAGTCTTGGTTTGTTATGTTGTCAGTACTGGTAATTAAATTATAAACCTTGACTGCTTTGTTTTCTGCAACTCCGGAAACCTTGTTGGGCTCCAGCTCCCATCAGCTTCAGCCAGCATAGCAAATAGGGAGGCTGGGAATTCTAGTTAAAACTGTATACAGTGATACCTCAGGTTAAGTACTTAATTCGTTCTGGAGGTCCGTTCTTAACCTGAAACTGTTCTTAACCTGAAGCACCACTTTAGTCAATGGGGCCTCCTGCTGCTGCCACGCCGCCGCTGCATGATTTCTGTTCTCATCCTGAAGCAAAGTTCTTAACCTGAGGTAATATTTTTGGGTTAGTGGAGTCTGTAACCTGAAGCATATGTAACCTGAAGCGTATGTAACCCGAGGTACCACTGTATGTCATTAAACTACCTTAACTTGAAAATTAGACACCTCAAAGGATGATCTTAAATTGTGTTGGCTGGCAATGGCCTGGGCCTTGCGTGCCATATTAACCCATAGTTTAAAATGAACTATGTTTTAGTGCAGGCCTGAGGAACCTTTGAGCCTCCAGATATTGCCCAGCTCCCATCAACTCCAGCCAGCAAGGTCAATGGTGATAGATAATGGGAGTTGGATTTCAATGATATCTGGAGCGCCCAAGGTTCCCAAGCCCTGGTTTTGGGTAAACCTTTTGGGGTTTGCTGCTTAAAAGCTTCTCTGTGACACTTCTCTCCCTGCTTCTGCTGCACTGTTGTGTCATCTGAACCTCAGCTTCTGGTTTGTTTCTCTCCAAACAAGCCATGAGCGGTAACCAAGGCTTATTCTTGGTTTCCCACTCATAGTTTGGGGGAATTATGAGCCAGAATTCAGATGATACGACTTGTTTGGCTGTGACATATTTATTATATAGTGTGGCAACAGCGGGAAAATACAGGAATCTCAGCTAATTCTCGTTCCCATTAAACTATAGTTAGCTAAAAACTGAGGCTAAATGTGATGTATGAATTGGGGCAATATATATATTTAACGAACTGAGTATACTGCTTAATTGTAAGCAAACCTCCAAGCAGTTTATGAAAATCTGTTATATGGCATTTGGTTTTGTTGGCTGTTTGGTTGCAAGGACCATAATATCACATTCCAAAAGAGTTTTTAAATGGCTGCATAATTTCTTCAATTAGTTTTGCTAAATAATAATACCCTTTTAAAATGTGGGGGTTTTTTTGGGGGGGGCGGGGGGTTATTGGGTTGTTGCTTTTATTATGATTATATATTTTGTGGTTTTATATTTTGATTTTGTTCCGTGAACCACCCTGAGACCTCTGAGTATAGGGCTGTATAGAAATTCAATAAATAAATAATAATAAAGATGTCTTCCTCTGCGGCTGCGATGCTAGGTGAAGTTATTTGCATATTATTTAATTTCTGAGACCCCCCCCCTACTACTGGAAAATAGTCTCAAGGTGAGTTACAACATATACGGTATTGGCCCAAATATAAGCCGCAACCGAATATAAGCCACACCTTTAAAATTCACAGGGAAAAAGAAAAAAAGACAATACCCGAATATAAGCTGCTCCCTTAAAATTATGCAGGGACTCACACCCGTTCCATTCTACTGTATGTCTGTTTCACCAGCAATATCGTAAAAAAGCCAATTTTTGTAAGGTCGCAAATTTAAGTCGCACTTTAACTTTTCACGGTCGGAATTTCTAAAAAGAGGTGTGGCTTACATTCAGGCCAATATGATAAATAATATATATTTTGTAGTGTTTGTTGTATTTCCCAGTGGCCTTTACATGAGCAAAATCAGCATACTATGTCCTATCTCCCAGTGTTAGTGCCTTCAACTGGTAAATAGTGATGGTGTAACTGAATAATTTGTAGCTTTGATAGCATGATGAAAACACAGGATATGTACATCCTGACTGGAAGCAAGCTGTGAAATTTTCTAGACCACAACTGTTAAGAACTGTCCTCTTTAATTCATGTCCTCTTTATTGAATTTGAGTCCACATCTTTCTTTCTTTCTGGCTTTTGAAATACATGTACGTAAGGCAATGAAAGCAGATTCCTCAGTGGTCAGGGGAAGTGTACTGTTACAAAGAACTAACACAGCACTTTAGCCGCTCATCAGTCTTGTACTCGTGTGTTTGTAAACTTAGAAACTAATTGGCATGGCTCTCTGTTTGCTGGATAAAAAGATTAATATTTATACGTAGCTTGGGATTTCTGTGAAGTTTTCATTTAATTGCCTGAATATGACTTTCGTGTCATGACTGGCTTTGAACTGCTGCCTAAAAAACTGATGCAATTGGCGGAGTGGATTTCTGGGCAAGAGTCTTCTAGCCCGGTGATGTCAGTTGTCGGCACCCTTATGCAGCCAAGGATAATCCAGAGGCTGGTCTTGGGCAATGAAGAAACAGGGAAAGCCATGACAGTGATAGGATGAAACTACTTTGGCCCTTGTGCTTAGTGTCTGAAGCTCCGCTTCCTAGGGGCGTGATGCTGGCTCCAAGCAGGTCACATCTCTCGGTCGTGGTGCAATCATACCCTGCCAACGAAAGCACTAGGGCACGCTGGATTTTATGGTGTATAGGGTTTACTTTTAAAAAAGCTCTTATTAAAATCTTGGAAGGATTTTGTTGTGTCTGTCTCTTTCCCCAGAACCCTTGGATGCTTCTGTGATGAGGCCTATGTGCAGAATGAGTTCAGTGGGATGGTGGTTCAGCGCTCTTGCCCCATTGCCAACTCTGGAGATTTCATTGGTGTTTTCTCAAAGAATTTGCTCGTTAAAAAGAGCGTTTTGCCCTCCCAGTTATGGTGAAAGCTATCATAAAAAGAACACGAATTCTGTGTTCGCAGGAGTTGCTTGTTGTTGAATGTTTATAGACGTCATTGGACCACCCCTGCATGTCATTTACTGGCTCAGGCTTTCAGATTGCAGTTGATAGTGTAGATGGTTCTCAGATCCATGGCTTAGGAGGGGAAAGTTCTGTTCTCCATAAAGGAGATTTTTCTTGCCCATGTCCGTTGCACAGTTGCACAGTTATTTAAGTCAAGCATTATTTTATATCACAAAAATCCAGGGGCTGAGTTGACCATGTGGCGTGTCAGATGAAGAGTGTTCTCAAATGGAAATTAGGTTTGTGCTGGTCAGAAGTGCTTGCAGTTTCTGACCAAACTTCCTCCATGATGGCTTCTCCCAAAGGGAACTTTTGATTGACTTTTTCTTTATTGTTTTGTCCATGACTGCCTTCGTCAGACGCAGCCCCTTTTGAACTATGGCTGCCTCCTTCTGTTTTGGATCTACCAGTTGGCCATTTTTAACATTGTGCAAGTGAAATTCCTTGCTAAAGAAGTAATCAATTTACATTGGAAGCATTCAGCTTCTCTTAATTCTGCTTTCAGAGTGAGAAAGAAATCTACCTCTGAATGAAAGTGTTTCAGGTCCGGTTTTTGGATGGGTTGTTTTTCCCCAGTGGCTATGAGATTTGAAGTTGCCTGTGACAGGATCCCAGGATCATGTGCAGTGGTGAGAACAGATCTAAAGTGTAAAATAACTTTCCTATAGACATAGGGAAGCTAATTATTCAGTGTCTTTAGACTTCAGATGAGATCTAGCCTAGTGAGAAGAAGAGCTATTTTGAATAAGATACCTTATCATGAGTTCTAAGGAACTTATACATGGGAGAAAACATATCTTATTGTGTGTGCCTGCACACAAACTCCTATGGATATTGGGCTATCTCTACAAGGATTTCTTAGTGGCATTCCTTTGTTTGTTATCCCACCCTAATGCTCTTTTGTCCTTAGTTGTGGATCCCTGTGATTATGCCAAATGTCCTCTTGTTTCTGACTTAGCATAGTGAGGCCTAGCTGTCTTTGCCCATGAAAAAGAAAACTTCAGTAACATATATTGTGTCTGCAGCCATGCCTAACTACCAAGCCAATAGAACTATCTGGCAAAAACAGATGTGAACACACACAAAAAAATACTGTTGGCAAAACTTGCACATGCTTGCTGTTGTGACTACCTTTTACAGTATTTGAAATTATTTTATAGTAGAGTAGACATGCAAACTGGAGGAGCTCTTAAGTCTGCACAACCCTCTATGACAGTTACCCACAAATGTTAATAGTCCAGTTTCGTAGCTACCCTAAGGAACTCTGTTTGTGATCCAGTCTTTTTATATCTCCCTGTTTTCTGTGGAGCCAAGGAGGTAATTGCATATACGAAGAAACTCAAACACCTCTGATTATTGCTCATTTGAAGTATGTCAGAGTCCAGCCACAGCGTGTACACCAGCATTGACCCCAGGCGATGAAACTGATAGCCAAGTACAGTAAACACCCAAGTTCATATAACTTTCCATTCTGCACTCCTGCTGCAATTTTTTTCAGGACCGGTCAGGATGCAGTTGAATACAGATGGGTCAAGATTAGGTATTGTAAACAGCCTTTTTTGAATTAGGAACACTTCCAATCATAGAATGATAGAGTTCCCATGGAATAACTTGATTCTCTCCCTGAGTCTCCCCAATGTTCTACTTTTCTGCACAGGCGGCTATTGACAAATATCATCCCTCACTTGAAGTGTGAAGTAGTGCAGTCCATGGACTCTGCAGTGTGGTTTTGTTCAAAATATAGTTCTGCCATCTAAGCCTTGTATGCATGTCTCTAGAGAGACAATAATGGAACTGCAATTTGATCCACATGATCTGTTTGGTTTTTTGGGTCACTGTATGTGCTGATATCTATTGGTCTGAAGCATTAGTCAAAATCCCAGATGGGGAGGTCAGGATACAGTTGGCCTGATGTGACTCTGGATGGCTGACTTGCCAGATGTGACCTTAAGCAACTTGCCAAATACTGTTCTGCCATTAGTTATTTGTGACATATATATTTTGTTCTAATTCCCTGGGTTCTACCTCCTAGGTACGGATTGTGCTGCAGCTGGATGATTGCTCTAGGCTCCAAGACACGTTTTGCTCCAGTCAGACCTTGTGGGATATTCTTAACCACTTTGCACAGACCAGGTGAGTGCAAGCAGAGAGCGATGAGAGAGAAATGTTTCAGAAAGCTGAAGATGAAAAGCACAGACGGTTAAGATGTCATGAATGAATTGATTCTGTGCTGCTACTTAAATAAGGCTCCACTAATGAATACTTTTCAGATTATTGACTGTATTTAATATGATTGTTATGCTTCATAGCTCTTTGTTCACTATTTATTCACTAATGACAGTTGCTTTGGGCAGGACTAGGTTATACTGCAAATGGGATCACCTTTCATCATTGTCCTGGAACTTTGATTCATTCAGGGCAAAAACTGCTAGTTTCCTTCAAGGAAGCTGGAATCACTGCTTAAAAGCGGGGGTTCAGCAATGGAAGCGGATGATAGCTCAGTCTGCATTTGAGGAAAATAATGCTGGGAAGAGAGTATTGGTTAAGTACTTTGCCATTTTCAGACTTCTTATCCCCTTTCCTGTTTCGTTTAGCTCCCAGCAGAAAGACGGGAAGATACACCACTAGGTCCAAACTACTCATTACACACAAAGGCATGTAACTGCAGCCCGATGCCCTTTCTGTGATTTAACAGATACTGTGGAAGAGTTCAGCTGAGAAGTGGTGAGGGAAGGGAGCAGCTAACCCTTTCCTACCTAACCTATCAGTCCCTTGCTTCAAATCACCCCTCCCTGCCCATAGTGTTTAAAATGTAGCCGTCAGTTTTCATGCATTCAGAAGAACATACAAGTACTGAAAATTAGGTAGAGTGTGTGTGCACGCACATTCACACCCCCTGCCCAGTTTAAGTCCTCATGTGTTCTTTTGAGCACTTGAAGAGGACTTGTGCCTTTGTCCAAACATACCCTTTTATATCTCATTAGAGTGCCTCTTTTATATCTCATTAAAGTGCCTCTTTTCCTCTGCTGCTTCTTTGCTACCTCTTGCACACTTCCAAAGCAGCTTTTGATACACCCACACACCCTGTTAAGCCGTGTATGTGTGTGTGTGTTTTCTCCAGGGGTACTTCTTCACAGTCAGTTTATTCTGCCATTAACATGCATTTTGTATATCAATGACTGTACATTGTTCGCATGTCTCTGTGTGCCTGCCTCAGTATCCTTTGAACTGCCGCTTCAGACACAACATTTTTTATCTAGGATGATGTGATTTTTTTCACCAGGAGGGTACATTTGCTGCTGTTTTGGTTGCTCTATGAAATGTGGTTGCACAAGTGCCACGAGCTATTGTGCCGTATGACTGGCGAGACACAAACACAACTTCCTTTCTCTTCCCACCCCACCCCCAACACAGTGTTTTATTTCAGTCTTCAGTGGTTGTATGCTCCTGCTCCCCCCCCATTTTTCATTTAAAAATTCATTTATATTCAAAAGTAATAAAACAATAGAAATGACATATTTAACAAAAAGAAAGCAAAGGAAAAGAGAAATTAAAACCCAGCCGTTCTTGTGTACATTTCACAAGTTGAGTAACAGTATCATCATGTTGTTCATAGTTATATTTTTTAATGATCCCTTTTTTGTTTTTGTTTTTTAGAAGGGTTGTATTGTATGCAATCCCATATGCACAGATGGGATTGAAAGGGGATGTGTAAGAGAATTGTGCCAAGGCTAGAACTTGATTGAGCACACTTTTGACTGTGCAGAGAAGTTCCAAGCATGCTTGCAGCTCATAGGGTTGACTGAATGGGCTTTTTCAAACCTTTGCTGAGTTATGGTTTTAGTGGAGAAAGGCCTTGTTCTAACCTGGAAGCGGTCTACACTTCCAATATAGCGTCTCTGTATTAGAAAGCTTCTGTGAGGGTTTGCCTCCCTCTTGCTGCAGCCTACATTTAGTGCTTTCCTTCTTCCTGAAGAGGATTCAAGAACAAAAGGTGCTCTTTCAAATCAAAATGTCAAACGATTGATCCGTAGTCCAAGACAATTTTATTGCTTAGCTTTGTTTCTTTTTTGTGGCATGGAAGACTGAACTTCATAAATCGAGGGCGATTGCTACAAATTCTATTGGAGCGTCTTTAACTCTCTCTCTCTCCCCCCCCCCCCATCACAGTCACTTATTAGGCAAATCTTCTAACACTTGGGAAGGGGCTCTCAGCCTCGTACGGTTTCTGTCATCTCTGCTTCTTGAATTCATTCCAAGTTCTCTTTCTGATCCAATGGGAGCTCTTGGCTCCCGTTCTATTTAAAGGTCTTTTTCCGTAGTCCACGTGCTGCGTTGTAGGATTGTGTAATTGGCGGTTGTTTCTTTCGGGCTCAGAAACCATTCCAACAATCATCTAAAGGAGTCATCGACCTACTGTCGTACCAGGACTTCTAAAGCTGAAATGATAGAACTACCAGGAAAGGGGTGGGTGGGCCAGCTTGGACTCTGGTATGAATAACAACAAGCAGATGAGTGCTATTTCTTTGCCAGCTAGTGGATTTGCAGTCTCTGTATTCCTGCCCGTCCCCCCTCCCGCCCGACACATTGGAGACATTAACCTCGCAAGTAATACTGTTTATGTCTATCTATCGTTGTGTGACTGCCGCAGAGCACTCCTAATTTCATACGTTTACAAAAGATATACCTGTTAGCCCTTTGTCCATGTGCTGGCTCACATCTAATGGCTTTATTGTACACAGTGCACACCACACTCTGTAGAAACACTAGGGATTACCTCGGATCCGCTTGGAAGTCTTCTTTCTGTAGTTCAGCCCCAACTGATGGATCTGTGTAAAGATTGTTCTGTTTATTACCATACACAAATTCCCTCAGGCCTTACTTTGCTGACTCTTATTAGGAATTTACCTGATCATGCAAATGCTCAAAGTGTTGGAAGTGTGTTGCGCCCTAGTCCCTGGACTTCCCCATGCTTGTATGGAGAAGATCTGTAGGAAACCTCTGTTTGCGTTTGCTTGATTGTGTGTGTTTGTGAGTAGACTCCTTGCAGACAGGGAGCCTGTTTTATCAGAGGATTCTACTTGCCTTCACGCAAGCATGAGTAAAAGCCTCCTGCAGACCTTCTGCTCTCACTGCCAGGGAAGGTTGAGGACACCGTGGTGTACACTGGGGTGCTGGCGGTGGAGCTTGTAGAGTAGGGGTCAGTGCATGAGACGAGAAGCAAAGTAGACTTGTTCCCGTCATGATAGCCCATGATTTATTGTGAACTCCAAATGCATCTTGACATGCAGAATTTGTCATGGATTATTCTATTATTATGAAATCTTTAAGCCGTCATCTCCCGTACTTTATCATGGGATATATACTTCTGTTTCCTGAATTAAAATTGAAAACGCAGCTAATTCTTAAAGCTCTTAGTGAGCACAAGAATAGCCACACTTGGAGGAGTTCCTGAGTTGTTGATCTGGGCCTTCTTCCTGAAAATAACGTATGGCCTCCTCTGACTTCAGGTAATTCTGCTATGTGTCTCCATCTGAAGTCACTAATCACCTTCAGCAGAGGCTGATTGGAAGGAGGTGAGACTGGAGCAGTGAATTATAGAAAAGATGTAGCAGGTCGCTGGTTCTTTTGGTGAAAAGTTGGGCTCACAAAAGCCTTTCATTATTTAACTTGTGTGACAAAGTAGTGGCACCTCAGCGTGCCTCAGCACACAAAGCATGAGAGTTACTCCTCAAAGTTCTGAAATTGGGAAACTACCCAATACAGAGTCAGACCATCCAGATGACGTTCTATGACATCTTCCATAGTTTCTGTGCTGTAGGGAAGTATTGTTTCTTCTATAGCTTTTTAATTTTTATTTTTACCCCCACTAGTGTGTAAAGCTTTTCAACTCTTGCTCTACGACTTTTATAGCACATACCTATCTTCCTAGAAACTTGTTTTGTCTATTGCGTCTGTCGGGTCTCGATGCCACAAAACTGTTCATGTTTCAAAATATTTTTCCTTCCAGAGTTCTGTGACGTATAAGAAATTCACTGGAAGAGCAATACAAAACAAGAAGGGTTGGGTTCATTTAGTAGATTTCCCCCTGCTCTTGGTTTTGTGGCATGCTGTCATCTTATTTCATGAGCTAATGTTATTTTGAAGAACTCTGTGTATGGAAAATCCTACTTCAGTATCAATGATTTTGGGGGTCCTACTAGTTTTTTTAATTTGTTGCTTGAATACTGTATTGATTCCAGGGCATCTGCTCAACTCTTGGGGAGGCTCTAACTGTATTTCAAAAGGCTGCATTTAATTTAAAATTTTTATTGGTTTTTCCCCTAGCCTAATTTGGTTGGCTTCTGATCATAAAGCAGAATACAAGTTTACTCTGTTCATGCTGCTGGTGTCACATGTTGTTGCTGTCTTTTCTCTTTGGAAGCCTGCTATTTACTTAAATTTATGTTCCCTCCTTTTGCCATAGGCATACGTTTCTTCTTCTGTCCCTTACAAGTGATCCCACTGAAGTTGGGAATCTGCTTGCTTATTTTGGAGGATTTATTGCACACTTCTTATTCCTGTTTCCTTCTCTTAAAGTAGTCTGGAAGTTTCGTCTTCACACTGCTTCCTCTCCCTGCCCTACGTCCTCTCTCTCTTGACCATTTCATGAAGTGGCAGGATGTATATATTTATAAATTTTGGGTCTGGTGTTGCTTTCAGAGAATTTCGGAAGCTCTTAAAATTTGGAGAGTAGTGCTCGCTGCCCAATGATCTGGCTAGGCTGGTGCCACTACTTTGGTCCTTAAACGTGTTTAATAGAGAACTCTCTCTCTAAAAAGAAATACAAGAAATACCAGTGGAACTCACCTTAAGAACTAAAATTGTGGTCTTACCTAAGGGCAGGGCCATGGCAGACTCTTTACACGAATAAGTGTCTCGGTGCCCTAGTGTATCCATTTAAAACAAACTAACAAATTTTGGGTACCATGATCCAAAGATCCTTGGAGAGCTGCTGCCAGTCTGAGTGAGTTAGATAGGCCACTGGTCTGACTTGGTCTTTGGCAGCTTCATATGTTTGCCCAATGAAACTATCAGCTTCTGAGATGAGTGCATACCCCCTGAGCACGGCTTCTTGGTCTCTGCAATATCTT